CGCGTATTCAGAAACGTAGATTACGTACATAGGATTTGTCACTACTCTTTTTAAAAGAGATTAATGTCTTATGGGGCCCACTGATAAATTATGATTGAGGAAATTGCATGGCCATGCTGAGATGTTTTTATGACGTCTGTTCCTATGAGTCAGACTTGATAAATTAGTGAATGACTTAATGGCTACAAGCTAGATTTTATTAATCCCTTGCATTAAGTCTAGACATTGAGACAAAGGGATACAGTTACACGGAGTCTGAGTCGTGGAAAGGTTTTGACGGTGCAAACGTCTTAACTTATAATCTGGGGGCAATAATGTGTTGCTAGATACCGCTTATTGCTTATAGTATTGGTGCAGAGCCAATACTGTGGCCAGCTTTATAAGTGCCTATACGGGTCACACACTTTGGACAATTTAAAGAGTAGGATTAAACTATGGGATAATAAGTAATTTGTATATTTGTAAAATAGTAAAATAAAATATTTTGGAGTATAATACATACTTCCTCCGTCCGGAAATATTCTTCCCATTTTTCTTTTTGGTCCGTCCGGAAATATTCTTCCCATTTCCTTTTTTAGTATACTTTTTAAGGCTAAATATCAATAATACCCTTCTATTTTATCACAAATATACTTTCTTAGTACTTTTTTAATAATAAAAGGAGATTTAAAAGTTTATAGTATGTACATTTTTGAAAATTTTGCATTTTTTTACTATTCCTTAATAAGCGTGCCAAGTCAACACGGGAAGAACATTTCCGGACGGAGGGAGTATTATATATACGGTTTATATATATATATATATATATATATATATATATATATATATATATATATATATATATATATATATATTTATTTATTTATTATATATATGATAACACCGAAATATATATATATATATATATATATATATATTTTCTTTACTTAATAAAAATAAATATTTATTAATATATAAATATATAAATATAAATATATATATATATATATAATATGTTGAATATATTAGTTTAGTTTGTCATTTTAATTATGAAAATAATTATTTTGACATAAACTATTTGAAGTATATTTTATACTTGTTTAAAAATGATATTGGTATTTTATTTGATTTAAAATTAATTTTATATTAATTTTTGGTGTCAAATAAAATACACTTTGAACATTTAAGTGGAGAAGAATTTTGAAAATCCTTCTCACTTTCTCAAATCAAAATATATGGCTAATTGGGATCTCACTTTGTCCATAATCCTTGATTAATTGTTCATTACTTTACCTTTTAGCTTAATGACAAAATTGACAAATCATTTGTTGAAAACATGACAATTATAAAGGGAGAGTGTAAATTATCAAATTGGGGTGTGGTTTTCGGCCATAAATTTCTAGTGAGAGAAATTTTATATTTGGTTCCATTAATATCATTTTTGTATTGAAAATATCTATAATGTTTTCTAAATATTATTAGAAATATTTTCTATAGAAATATACAAGATTATTATTATCCCAAATTTTAATCTTTATATTTTATACTACTATAATCTTTACTAGCATAAAGATTGTGGTAGACTCTGGCATTGTTCGTGTGTCAAAGTTGGAGACCGGACGCTTGAACGGTTACGTTTGCACTTTCAACGCTCTTCCTACGACTTCTTCGTTTTTACCGCTTACGGAGAAAGGTATAAATTTCTTACTCACTATATGTTTTAGTACGTGATTCTGGGCAAGATAATCATGTTAGGATGTTAAAATTTTTATATTCCGCTGCCTATCCTTGCCAGGGTCGGTCCGAAGTAAATGAAGGCCCCGTGCAAATTAAAACTTATGGCTCCATGTGACTTCATATTTGTAAATTTTAAATTCTTGAGACTATTTGTTCATCTAAACCTTTTTGAATTTAATTAAACAAATTATATTAAATTTGTAAGACATACTAATACAATGAAAATAAATTTTTAAAAATTTGACACAAGATAAATCTAATAACTTGCGTTCATACTTATATTCAATATGAAGTACAATATTTATATTAATGATGATTAAAATTTGTCTAATTTGACTATTTAAAAAAACTTGAACTATATGAATAATCTTTTATGAAACAAATATTAATTATATATAGAGTACTTTTTACAATGAAAATGTAAACTAAAAAAACTCTGATTATGGAGTAAAAGTTTACATAAAAATATTTCTTTATATATTTTTTTGAACGTTTCTTTATATCTTTTGATTCTACATAGATTAAGTTAATGATTAATTCTTTGAAAAATAGTTAAAATGAAAAATAATGTTCTTATTGATTTCTACTTCGTAATGTAATTAATAAATAATTTATGGTACTATTTTTTCATTGGGCTAAAAAATAGCAACTAAACAAAATGATAATAGACTAAACAATGTACATAGTAAATAAGGATTTAAAGAAGACATCGGAAGAGAAAATTAAAAAAAAAAAAGAGAAAGTATGGAAGATTGCTGGTACTAGGGGTCACTAGGGTGTGTTACTATCCAAAAAAAATTGGGCCCTCAAATTTATTGGGCCCTGTGCAATTGCACAGGCTGCATAGGTCATGGGCCGGCCCTGATCCTTGCATGGTTTCCTTTCAAATTCAGTGTCCAACGGATAGTTTTTTTGAAAAATTCAAGGTGAACAACGATGTTCAATAGGCTACATCGCTGTTGAGACATCGATGTTGTGCCTTTCTACATCGCTGTTATGCGTTAAGTTTAAAAAGCAGGTGTCAAAAGAACAGCGATGTTAAGTACCCTACATCGATGTTCCAAAACATTCTAGAAATGTGTGAGGGAATGAACCCATTAGAACAGCGCTGTTGGGTTTACCTACATCGCTATTTTACGATAAGGAAAAAATTTGTAAAAATGGACAACGATGTTGCACAAACGTACAACGCTGTTGAAGAACTTTCTGATTTTGATTGGAAAAATGGTATTTAAAGTAACAACGATGTTGAAAATGCTACAACGGTGTTAAAAAAGTTTCTGAAAAACATAGAGTAAGAGGACTCCAGCGATGTTGGGTTATCATACATCGCTGTTGGTTCATGTGAGGTTGACACTGTTTCCCTCAACAGCGCTGTTGGTCACCTTGATATCACTGTATGAACATCGATGTTGTCCTCCTAACAGCGATGTTTGCATGGTTCCCCTTGATTTTATGAACAGGGTACCTGCAAAAAAGAAAAAGTTCTCCGACGCTTAAGTTAGTAAACGTTTAACAAGTTAAAATGCACAACTTAGATCATCGTGGAAACAAGGATTCCGAGTACACTTTGAATGCGGAAGAACGACTCTTTCTCTAAAGGTTTTGTGAAAATGTCGGCTTATTAGTTGTGTGTTTCAACGAACTCAATTTCGACATCACCTTTGAGAACATGATCTCTGATGAAATGATGCCTAATGTCAATGTGTTTCGTCCTTGAGTGAAGAACGGGGTTCTTCGTCAATCTTATGGTGCTAGTATTATCACAACGAAGAGGAACGCGATTGATACTAAGGCCATAGTCCACGAGTTGTTGCTTCATCCAAAGGATTTGAGAACAACAACTACCGGCTGCTACGTATTCTGCTTCGGTTGTGGATAACACAACACTGACTTGTTTCTTACTAAACCATGAGACTAGAGAACTACCAAGTAAGTGGCAAGTCCCACTCGTACTTTTACGGTCCAATTTGCAACCGGCAAAGTATGAGTCGGAGTAACCAACGAGATGACAAGAATAACCTTTGGGATACCACAGTCCAACATTAATCGTGCCGACAAGGTATTTCATGATTCGTTTTACCGCCGTTAAGTGCGATTCCTTCGGATACGATTGATACCTTGCGCAAAGGCATACGCTAAACATGATATCCGGCCTACTAGCGGTAAGATAAAGAAGGGATCCGATCATACCTCGATACTTTTTTACCTATACTTCCTTACCTTTCTCGTCTTTGTCGGGATGGTCGGATGTGCTCATCGGGGTCGTCATGGCTTTGGCGTTTTCCATTTCGAACCGTTTTAGGAGTTCTTTGCAGTACTTAGTTTTGCAAATGAATGTGCCATCTCTCATTTGCTTCACCTGAAGTCCCAAAAAGAACGTGAGCTCACTCATCATTGACATTTCAAACTCGCTAGTCATTAACTTGGAAAATTCCTTGCACAAAGACTCATTAGTAGCACCGAATATAATATCGTCTACATAAACTTGAACCAAAAGAATGTTGTTGTTTTTACTTTTGATAAAAAGTGTAGTGTCAACCTTTCCCCTTTGGAAGCCACTATCCAAAAGAAATTTACTCAAACGTTCGTACCAAGCACGCGGTGCTTGTTTAAGACCGTAGAGCACTTTCTTAAGTTTGAAGACATGGTCGGGATACTCAAAGTCTTCAAACCCCAGGGGCTGGTCAACATACACTTCCTTGCATATTTCATCTTCTCTACATTTTTCTTGTGTGTTCTTCATCACAATGGGCAAGGACAAGAACCGGGCAGGAACCTCCAAAAAATCCAAGGCCAAATCCCGGGCTCCTACCACGACCTTCGAGGAACGCCTCTACTACGGCGACGGGTCGTACCTCTGGTTCAATTCCGAGGAGGAGCGCACCCGATTTGTTACCTTCTTCTCCAAGCGGGGTTGCGGCTCCCCCGCGGATTGTCCCAGAGCGACTACTAGAGTTGCTCGGCTACGACTTCCTCGATGTGCAGCTCCACCAAACCGGGCTATGGTCGTTCGTCTCCAAGGCCCGGAAGGAGATCAACCCAGCGCTGATTCTGTTTTTCTACTCGAATCTCCGGCGTGAGGACAACGTCATCTATAGCCTCGTCAAGTCCACGCCAATTGAAGTCAACGTGGAACGCCTTGGGCGCATCGCCGGCCTCCCCTACCAAGGCGACGACATCTCCACCTATGGTGGAGAAGATTGGGTCCTCAACAACGAGGGCCTAGTCCTCAACGAGCTCGGCATCACCGAACTCATCCGCCATCCCACGGGCCGCCCCACCATCCACTCCATGACCCCCGAGAGCCGCCTCCTTCTCTACATCGTATCCCGGATCATCAAGCCCCGAAAGCACGGGCACACGATCATGTCCGGCGAGGATCTCAAGCTCCTCCACGCCATCATGGACTCGGCGCCGATCAATAAGGCGAAGTTTGTCATGATTTACATGACGGACGCCACGTCTACCGCCCACAATCACCTCCTCCCGTACCCCTTCTTGGTGATGGACATCCTTGAACGGTTCAAGGTTACCACCACCGTTGGCCCGCTCACCAAGGCCACAAAGCTTTGGACGATCAACGCCCAAACCTTCACGAAGCGGTCGGACAACGCCGCACCTGCCACTGCCTCACGACGCTGCATTGCCGATTGCCCAGCCGAACCCAGGCCCAGGCCAACCTTGCCTCCATCACCGACTCCCTCAACCGGCTGAACTTCAAAGTCAACGGGATGGGCGGGTACCTTGAATGGCTCGACGAGGCTGTTCAACACCAAGGGTACGCCATGAACGCATACTTCCAACGCGTCAACTACGTCCCCCCACCGTACCAAGGCACGTTCCTTGGGCAAGTGTACGGTGACGATGACGAAGAAGATGGCTCCTACGCCCCGTCAAGCTCCCCGGATGAGGGTGAATTCGACGACGCTATTGATGGTGATGAAATGGACGTCGACGATGATGAGGAGGAAACCGAAGGTGAAGAGGAGGAAGACGAAGACTAGGCCGCCCCTAGAATTTCTATCTTTTTTTCTATTCATTTGTCATGTCTTTTCTTTCAATTAATTGCTTCCCTTGTACTCCGCTCTTTCCCAATTCAATAAATAAAAGTTATCTTTTATCTTTTTGTTAATGTCAAAAGGGGGAAGAAAAGGGCTATGCATATACTAAGGGGGAACGCTTCTAAAAACGGATCGTTTGATTTTAAAACGACTATTTGCTTTTAAGCACAATTAAGGGGGAACTTTTTAACACCTTTTGAAATTCAAATATCCATTAGTATGCATATCCCCATCTTGTTTTCCATTATCAAAAAGGGGGAAATTGTTGGAACACGGGTTTACGCCTACGTCGTACTAAACCGTGTTCCTTTTATGACAGGTTTTGATAATGCCAAACCGCCACGAAAACAAGAACAAATTGAGCAAATCAAAGGCAATGAAACATGATGTGAAGATGAATTGAAAATGAGAACCAAGAACCAAGAACGAAGACTTAGAAATTAGTTAGGTCGGCCTTAATGTGATCAAGACCGGCACAAACTTCTAAACTTGGCTCCCTGGGCTTATATCATTAAAATATCTTTTTGCATATTCAAAAATGTTTTTCATAAGTTTTTAAACAAGTCTAAAACACTTGGTGTTCGCCCAAACCAAAAACCAAGCCATCCGGCGTTCGGCTTTCAGAAATTGGCGTTCGGTATTCGGTTATCGGCGTTGGTTTTTGGCGTTCAAACCAACCAAGTGGTTTTTAACTTTTTATGATTTGTTATTACTTCTTGTCATATTTAAATAGTTCTCCAACAAAAACGCTTCAAAAACCACCCTTTGTTTTTAGTCATTTAGTAAAAACCATGCGAAACGACGTAAACTTGGCTAGCCGTGGTTTTTATCTAAATGACATGGTTTTCAAGATGTTTCACTTGATTTATTAGCAAAATGCATTAAATAAATTTTTTCAATACTTGGTTTTTATTTTGGAGAACTTAGATTTTTGACATCGGCTAACGAAATGACTAAACCAACCGTGGGTCTGGCTAAATCAGCCCAACAGCGATGTTGGAGTGACCAACAGCGCTGTCTGGCATGGGCAGCTGAAAACCATTGTTTGGTGTTAAGTCTTCCAATAGCGATGTTGGTAAATGGACATCGCTGTTGAGCCAAGGTTGGATTTCTAGAAACATCTGGAACAACGATGTAGACTTCTCTACATCGATGTCCAACCTAAGCCAAAAGAAATGCCTTTGGCATAAATTTTTTGGACAGCGCTGTTGACCCAGCAAAAGCGATGTCAGGCCATTTTTCACCCTTCAAAGTCAGGCCTGAACAGCGATGTTCAAGTAATGCACATCGATGTAGGCACCTGACCGTTGGAAGGAATTTATGGCTGAAACTTTCCATGTTTGGAAGTCAACAACCAAAACAGCGATGTTGGCCTTTTGGACATCGCTGTTGGCCTGACCGTTGCTTCTTGATATTCAAAAACTAAGCCTAGAACAGCGATGTCCAAGTCATGGACAGCGCTGCCAGGCTAATTTTTAGTAGATCCAATTTTAATCAAATCCCACAAATTGTGCCAATCACCCCCATTTAGCTCCTACCCGTTGGAGCCTATTTTTCTACTATAAAATGGGGTGTTTGGGTCTGCTTTACACATAACATTACTTCACAACTCCTATTATTCATTGCATTACATTCATACATTCTTCATAGCTTTTCGAGAGCCATTTTTGTGAAGTTCGTGTTGTGTTCTTGAGCGTTTTTAGTTACTCATTATCCACTCTAAAAGAGAGTATTGTTCTTGAGTGATTTAGTGTTTTTAGACACTTGATAAGAGAAAGTTTTTCTCTTGAGTAGTTCGAAGGAAGGGTTGTTTCCTTCGAAGGTTTGTTGAGGTTCGTGTGACTCGAACTCTCAAGTTGTACGGGTTTGTTAAGCACCGTTAAGCTTAACAATGATAGTGTAGCTCGAGAGAGTCTCTCGGGAGGCTGGACTAGCCACACGTTGTGCTGAACCAGGGTAAAAACGATCTGCCTCTTCCTTGCTCTTTACTTTACGCTTTTAATTTTTTATTCCTGCGTCATTTTCGTTTCAAACGCTATTCACCCCCCCTCTAGCGTTGGGACGTTTTTCTAACATTGTTGTTTACAACTATTTTGCTAATTGCTTTAATCTAATTGCTTTATTTTGAGTGCTTTTGTTTTAATAAAAAGATCATTCCCTTTTCTTTAAAGAATTTTTTTAGTAATTAAATCAAAATAGAAGTTTGATTCTCTTCTTTTAAATCAAAATATTTAAATCATATCCGAGATTCTTAAGATAGTAAATAATAATTCATTTTAAAGACATTACGTACTCTAGGCGATATTTTTAAGACCCAAAAAGGTCACATATAGTACATTTTCAAAACATGTTTTTGAATTATTTCTTCTTTTTAATTAACTTCATACTTTGCATTAAATGTTTCGTGGCTCAATGTAGTAGATGTTTTCCAATGTATCAAATTTATTGCATACATTAAATGGTTATTGCGTTAATCAATGTTTAATTGGTTGTATTGGTTCGTGGCTCTATGTATGACAACTCATAGTTTACACCTATTTTGCTAATTGTTTTAATCAATATTTATAGGCTCTAAGTAATATTAAATTTAAAAAAATTGAATGCTTTTGTTTTAATAAAAGGATCATTCCCTTTTTTTTAAAGGAATTTTTAGTACTTAAATAAAAATAGAAGGATCATTCTCTTCTTTTATATCAAAATATTTAAGTCATATCCGAAATTCTTAAGATAGTAAATAGCAATTCATTTTTAAAGACATTGCGTACTCTAGGCAATATTTATTATAAAATATTGTATGGTTATGTTTTACGAATGTTTTTTAATAGATATATAAAAATGTTCTTCCTATGTCGTTAATTGACATGCATGATATTTTCAAAACATGAACTAACTTCATACTCTGCATTAAATAGTTCGTGGCTCAATGTATAACGTTTTCCAATGCATAATTGAAATTTTAATGATCTAAAAAATAACTTGAATCATCACGATTAAGACAAAGATTACACACCTCATCGTCGTGAGTGACAACCTCCATCGATTCAATGTTTCTTCCAAAAGGCTGAACGTGGTAGACACAAAAAATTCATACATGGATAACAATGTTGTGGTCCTTTTCGAGCTCACCAAGGTTCGTAAACAGACTTGGGATAACATGTTTGGGAGCCATATTGAGAAAGATGCAATTTTCAAAAGCTTTAATGGTAGGGAAATGAATTGGTGGTATTGGGAAAGGGTTGTTTATAAACATAAAATTTGAATAGCTCCCCTGGGAGAAAGTAATGATGATTTTACATTGGGGTATGTTAAGCAATAAAGATTCCTGATTAAAGTGAAAGGGAAGCGGTCAAAATACATATCCCAGGACCCACTTTTAATGTTTACGGGTACCAAAAAAAGTAACCAATCTAATTCAACCATTCAAGACCCATTGGCCCAACCGAATTTGTCTTCCTCTTTGCCCAACCCAATACCCGAATTGGATACCCAACCCATGCTCGAAGAGTTGGATACCCAACTTGATTAGTTTTCCTTCATCTTCTCTTCCCCTTCTATTTTAATACATTCTCTTCTCTTCCCATTTCTTTTTCAATTTTTAATATTATTTTTTAATACTTATTTTAATATATTTTTATTTTATTAATCATTTAAATTGAACATCCTATTAAACTTAAATTAAAACTATACTAAAATTAATACAGTAAATAATTAAGACACAATAAAAGTATTGGTACACTATTAAAAAACTTCGAAAAAAACCTAACATAGTTCATATTTAAAAAATAAAAAAACATTGAAACCTAATCATCATCCATAATTGGTGAAGCGAAACTCCACAAATGCTCTACCAAACTGGCACGTAGGTGGAGGTGTGTATGCTGGTTGCGTAATGCAAACAAGTTCAAGTCTTGTTTTGCAACATCTACAAGTTCCACATTCTCAAGAACTTTATTAAGATTGTATTTGCATATCCTGCTCGACAATGGATTTGGCGTCAGAGTATTTCTGATTTATACATGTTTAGATAAAAATTTTACCGCCTCATGATCAAACTATGCGCAGAACGGTAGCCAGCTATCGTCCAGACAGTCCCTTCATACCACCGGCACGGTAGGCCGTACCGCTGGGACTGTAGGCTAGCTACCACCACCTCCATGATAACCACTTATCTCTGGCGGTATTTGATGACCAACGGTACCCTGTGCCGTCAGCACGTTACCAGGTACCATCAAGGGTACCGTCTAACCTATTAATTTTCCAGAAAACCTAATTTTTGAACTATTAAATCCTATTTTTGATACCAATCAATTATGATCAATATAAATATGAATTTTGGAAATAAAAATGATGTTTTTGACAGATAAAATCTTATATGATGCATGACGGTAAGTTAGGGTGTTAACACTCGAAACTAGGCTGCTATTTGCTATTGGATGTTATGTTGGTTGATGATTATGATGAATGACTATTATGAATGATTAAAATGAATATGTTGATGATTATGAAATGATTTGTATTGTTAAGGATATCTAGAAGAACTCTAGGATATATCCATATTGATATTGGTTTCTAATACTATCTTGAAGACCTCTAAGATAGATTAGAAATAGGCTTTGTGGGTATAACTATAAATATTCGGTGGCTTGGGTAAAAATGTACGTACGGGATCCGCAAACCAAACTTGAGGATAACTCGTTTGGGGATACCATCCAACCCGACAGTGAGCATTCCGCTGTTCGATTTCTAGTTGACCTTAAGCGAAGGTAAGTTTAAGATTGGAAAAACCTTTTTTTGAAAAATGTATCTTAAACTAGGCCTAGCTTGAGGATTGGATAGAAGTACCTTAAACTAGATTATATTTTGAGAATTGGTTAGAAATATCTTAAACTAGAATTTGTTTAAGGATTGGTAAACATTAAAGAGAGTGACCTTAGACTAAGAATAGTTTAAGGATATTGTTGAATGACGAATAAGAATGCTTAATGATGAATATTGAATATTGAATATTGAATATTGAATATTGAATGATGAATATTGAATATTGATTGTTGAATGTCTGAACTAAAAATTATGTGCATGATATCAAATGAATTGATTATTGAATTGAGTTTCAATTTATATGGATGTTCGGCGCATTAGATTTGCTTACTCAGCTTAAACGCTGAGCGTGTAGTATGTTTTATTTGCTACACGCAGGTAAACAAAAAGAATGAAGCGATGATTTCCTAGAGGCAGATGGAGCGAGATGGTCGAAATGGATGTGTGGATTTGAATTACTGTTTGAAAAGGACATAAATTTGTTATGTTTGTAATTGTGATTTATTGAGCTTCCACAACTTTAAATACTCCGTTACTATTCCAAACATATTATTATGAAATAAATTTATAAATGTTTGAAATATTTTGAATGTTTTACGAAAACCAAGTTTATACTTCAGTCCGAAAGGGGCTGCAGACCTTGACGGATTAGGGTGTTACATGCCATATGTGATTTTAATTCAGTTCGCAACTTGGAGGATAGGATGGATGGATTGCCAGTAAATGAATATGAATGTAAAAAGACTTCAAAGAGGGTATGAATGACTATGGTTTGGAAGAACTCCCATTTACATGGACTCATCCAACATGGAACAACAAGCAAGAAATAGAGAAGAGAATCTACTCTGAATTGGATTGGGCTATATGTTGAAGGGATGATTAAAATGAAGACCAAGACTTTTAGAGGGTATATCAAATCATATCTCCCTTATATTGAAAAGATTAAATAAGCATAAACCACGTAAAATATTCTAGTTTTGTGACATGTGGTGCTATGATAGTCAATTTTAATCCATTGTGGAAAAAGTTTGACATAAGGACTATGATGGGAGGAATATGTATCAACTGGTACAGAGGCTCAAGCATTGAAGGGTTTTCTAAAGAACCTTCATAGAAGGAACTTTCAACATATGTATGAGAGATTTAATGAGCTTAGGGCTAAGCTAATGAAGATTGAAGAGAACATTAAGAATAACCCCTATAAAAAGGCTTGTTTGAAGAGGAAAAAATTGTTACAAGGAAGCTTGTTTCTTGCACTAAAGCACTTGGATTACTTAATACCTAGAAAATAAAAGAAAAGTGAACAAGAGAGGGGGATCAAAACTCTAGATTCTTTCATGCTTGGCTTAAGAAGAAAAGGATCTAAAATCACAACTCCAATATCGCTGATGAAGAGGGCTGAATGAAGAATAACATTAAAGAGGTGGCGAGTGCTATGGAACCATTCATTAAGAATATTATTGTAAGTTCACATAGCATAGATAGAATAAACAATGTTATTATTACAAATTTAGCTACTTTTACTATTGAACAACAAATTGATCTTATCATGCCCTTCAATCGGGATATGGTAAAGAAGATGGTGATGAGTATTCCAAACAATAAGAGCCCAGGGCCTGATGGATTTTCAAGTGGGTTTATTTCAAAACCAATGCAATGTTGTAAGTAAACTGGTTACAGGTTCTATTATGGATTTCTTTGATGAGGGAACAACCATAAAGTAAACCACTGTAACAAGTCTAACATTCATCCAAAAAATAAA